GAAATCGTTGAAGTCCAACACATTCTTCTTCATCAGCACCACCCTTCCTTTCACTCGCTGACGCTTTTCGTCGTCACCGCTCAAAGCGTTCACGAGGTTATGAAACATTCTCGCTAACAACCTTCGCACTTCGCACTTCGCACGTTTCTATTTCTCAATTCTCAATTCTCAATTCTTAATTGTGAAGAAGCAACTCATGTTCGGTGCCTTTTATAGACGCTGTTTGCATTCTACTGATTTACCCACTCTTTACGTCGTTTACTTTCAACTTCACCAATTATCATTTTTTTTTTATGGATAAAATAAAAGGTTTCGTGTGATTTTACGTACACAATTTCTAGAACTGCCGTTAGTAACAATTGAATTAAAGTATGTTATTAGAGTATTTTTTTTATTTATCATATTTTAATAATAATAAAATATTAATAATTTATTAAGTAACTTATTAGGAAGATACTTACTTTTACGTATTATATATTTATTTTGGAGAGAGGTTTTTCTAGTTAAAGAATGTAAAAGCATTAAAATAAGACGTAATGTAATATTAAATTTCATGTACATGATTCGAAGTTTACAGAATGACTTACTCCGGCATGTAGCTTTTTGTTACAACTCTCATATAATTATATAGTTAAACCTCAAAGTTATAGTTATCATTCTTTAAGGTAATTATTTTTTTAAAATATTATATATAATAATTTACCATTAGATAATAGTATTAAAATTCGTCCACTATCTTAAATATTTTTATACAGACAGTACTAATACATCCTCAAAATATTACACAGACGCTAACAAAAAATTATCTTTCGAAAATTTGGAGACTAACTTTAACTATATATTTTTTTTTTTTTGGAGAATCTCGAACCTTTATTTTTGAATATTAGAAAATTATTAATGTTTTACTTTAATTATGTATTTACGTTAAAGTTTTAAGTTTTAACCGGACATGACATCTATTATTTTGAATATAATTGAATCGTAGCATTTATTAATCTCTTTTAAGAAATAATACTTTATCGTAAAAGAATTAATGAACTATATGTTCAGAACATTTTCCGGAAAAGTTAATGAATAGGGAGTAAATAAAATGTAAATTTGCGAAACGTAGAATATATTTTCCCGTTTTTTCCTACTTTTTATTGTGTCTTTTTTCCAGGAAGTTCCACGTGTTTCTCTGTAATATCAGATTCTCAAGTTCAGTTAGATGAGAATACCGTGATAACTAACTAAAGTTATAATCCCCTAAAAAAAAAAGTTAAAGTCATAGTTTGAGGTTTCACACATAAGAAGGGGATTGAGTGTGAGTTGTGGGTGACACAGCTCTATAAATATATTATGATATAACTATAAAACAAGGGTTAAAGGTATTTTTGGTTTTAAAAAAATCAAATTCTAGCTTTTATTTTTTACTTTTAAAACATTGGTTTTAAGCTTTATATCTTTAGAAATACTTAAACTTTGGTCTATATATAGAGGGGAAAAAGATTTAGGGACTAAAAATTGAGAATTTTAAAAAATATAAAAATGAAAACCGTTTATTTTAAAAGTGGGAGATAAAAAACAAAATTTAGAATTTTTTTCATGAACTAAAAATATCATTAATCCTTAACACGATAAAGCAAAAAAAAATAGTATCTTATTTATTGGGATACAAATAAGTCTCACATCGATAAGATAAAACAAGAAATAATAACTTTGAAAGGTTAGGTCCCTTGTTTGAGGGGAGGATTGTTGAGATACAAACAAGTCTCGCATCGATAAAATAAAGCAAGAAATAATAACTTATATAACACAAAACATACTTCAATGATTGAGAGGCTTTTCGAGAGATGACCAAAAGTAAAATCGTGAGAGCTCACTTCCAAAGTGGACAATATCTCATCATTGTGGAATATGCTTGTATAATAATCTCATAAAATATCCTCTCAGATAAATACTATAAAATAACCCCAACACTATTATTAAGTTGTCTATTGTTGTGAGTAATATCATGTTTAATATTTTGACAAGTTTTACATCGATTAATGAAAAACAGTTATGAGATATGTGATGCTGTCTAAAAATAATGTGTAAATATTTATTAAACTTACATATTTGATTGATATTACCTTACATGAAAATATATATTGCATTGCATGTTTATCAATATATATCACATTAATGATTTAAATTTAATCACATAACTAGTGTTTTATTTATTTACTAAAAAAAATATCATATAAAATATCATCCGCTCGCTATTCAGCTTGTAGCGGGTGAATATATTTTCAATGAAAAATGAAAACAAGAGCCACATGGAAGAATAATATAGTTAATTGTTTGTATTTTTTTATTAAATACAATTATTCCTATTTATTTTTTTTACATAGGGATTATAGATAAGAAATAATACTCTCACAATTACAATCATGGAAATTCGCAAATAAAACACTATTATTCACTTAATAATAATTATCTAAAATTTAATAGTATTTCAATTTTACACAAGATTTTAATTGAAGATTAGTAAAAGTTCACTAGAGAAATTTCATTCATGATATTAAGAAATCTTTTAAATTAAAAACTTACTATTGATCGCAAAATCTGTCAAACTCATATTATGAAAAATAGAAACTTAAACCAAATTCTTTACCATGTTAAAGTTGAATTTGATTATTATAAATAGTAAAACTTCTGTATTTGATTATTTAGCATAATTACATATATAGTAATTTTGAATTTGAACCACCACCCGTTAGATCGTCCACATGTTTGATGGTAGAACCACATAGCTCTGTTATATACAAAAAGTGCTTGTAGTAATTGGTAGGGGTTGTTCCATGCAGTTTCCAGCAAAATTGTCTTTGATTAAAAAATACTTGTCTTGAAAGAAACACTTTTACTTTTATTTATTTATTATTATTATCGAAACTATATTTTGATTTTGGTTCATGCATCTCAATTTCATGCATTGATGTTGCTTCTTCGCAATGTCCCAGGCTTGGCTCTTCTTTACAATATTCTCTCATATGCTACTTTTTTTCTGGGACTCTTTAATCCTTTGTTTTTACTCTTTAATCGTTAGATTTTGGTGCCAATATTTCACGTATTGATGTTGGCACTTTACGATATCCCAGACTTGGCTCTTTACAATATTCTCATGTGATGCTTTTTATTTTATGAAGTAGTGATCTTTGCACTTTACAAAGTTCACGCTCATTAGAAATATTCCTTGCCTAGTGGAATTAATTCTGGAATTAAATTCTCAATCTTTCTTAACGCTGTACAAATCAGAGTATTATCTATGATGTAAAAAAAAATCAAGTATTATCTATTTGTGGAGGTTAAAAATTTTAAATTATGTGCTCATGCGTGGCTTTTAATTACGCGCTAAGTTTTCTTTCTACCACATTTCCTTTGCCTTCTATACACAAAATGGTTACTTGATGAAATTTTTATTGTTATATTAACTCATTATTATTAGCACCGAAAATAATGAACCAAATTATAAAGAGAAAAAAACAATTAAATGGCTCTCGTTGCTCTTTGATAAGTTAATTTAATAACTCTATTTAGCATTAACTATTGAGGCACTTAAAATAAATCTTCCGAAATTTTTGTTGATGTTAAAATATGAATCAACAACTTGGCACAATTCACAAAAAAAAAAAAAAAAAAAAAAACATGGAAAAATTACAAAAAAAAAAAAAAAAAAAAAAAACTTGACATATCCCTCGTATTGAATGGTCATCTTACGAGTTAGTCAACTAAACTTTCGCTTCTAAAGGCTTTCGCTAGTAGTTATCAAGCTAAATGTGACTAGATCTGGATCATGTTCAGCTATTGGATGCAGCAAAGAGAAAGAAAAATATAGGGTCTTTGTAGGATCCACTATTAACCATTTGGTCTCATCTAACTTTTGTGTCTTTCTTACTTCTTGCTGCATCACCAACAGATAGAGACAAGAGGAAAGTCTCATCCCTTAACGCGTTATTATTGTTTATATTGTTAAGGTATAAATATCATTTTAGTCTTTACAGTAGTTTTTGTTTTGATATTTCAAAAAGAAATCTTGATTTAGTTTTTTATAATATTTTTTAATTTTATTTTAGTCTTTGTACTTGATAACTAAAATGATGTAAAATGTTTGATCTAAACCATTTTCAAGTATTGTTTAACTTGCTATTTGAAAGCAACCATTCAACTATTTTCAACAAAAGTTTACACCATTTCCCTGGTCGCTCACATATCTCTCAACCACCTGCTTGGGATTCTATCACATTTCCGTTTCCTCTTTTGAAACTAAAGCAAACTCTACCTGTTAAAATTTCAAATAAATGGGGCAGGAATACTCTAAGAAGCTTCAAAATTTCCACAGCCGACCAATCAAGGAAGATGGAAGCTTTTTGAGTTTTACCCTGAATTGCAAGAGAAAAAATGTTAATGTCATGGACATTCCGTGGTTACCAGTTGTACTAGAATAGCAGGTGGCTGACTTGAAGTTGAAGTAAATCAAATCACCATTTTTCTGTTGGAGGATATATGGTGACAGTACCACCGATTCAACATTCTCTATTCAAAGATTCTCGCAACTGACACAGCACAAGATTTACAAAAGGCAGTAATTCATAAAGACAAAAGTTGTTCCAAAAAGACAATGAGAATAGAATATCAAACATTCGTTTCACAAATATATTCTGGTTCCTCACACACCGTTATCTATGAAGTCACTGGATAATCTTAATTAAGCTTCTGAAAGGCTCAAGTTCTGCTCAATCTCTTTCTGCACAACTATCATTTTTCAAAACAAAATTCCGAAAGGAAAAGGAAAGAAAAAAGACAAAGTCCACCCAGGGATAAGATAGTGCACCTCGTATCCATTGTTTTGATTGAACAGAATATTCTTCGCATAAATTCTGAACCGGAGTGGTAAATATGAGGATGGCAGGATGCTTACTAGTTAAGTCATAAGTGTGAATTAAATCAAACATTTCTGCGCTAAGCATAGAATGACCAGATTGAAATAAAGCATCAACTTCTTTTATAAATAAATTTATAATAAATTACAAGTTACACAGATTCTGAACACACTTCACCACATGAGTGGCTGAAACCTTTCACACAGCAGTATGACTTTAGTCTCATATCTCCGATGGAGAAGAGCAAACATGATGGTCTATTAACAACTGGGGCAATATTCAATAGGGGAGAATGAACAGATAATTTAAGAGGAAACCTATGGAAGCAAACACTTCCCTGAAACACATCTTAATTATTCATTATCCATTTGCTTGCCAACCAACCTCTTAATCATTTGTTACCCACTTGCCGGCCAAACGACCTTCAGAAAGACTAGGAATGGCCTGCTTGCCTATCCCACTTAAGGTCTGCAGAAAATTCAGCAAATGCAGCTCGTGGATCTCCATTTGCAAGAGACCAGTAGTATTGAGCAGTTTCATTATCAACCTGCATGCTTCTCTTCAAGGAATCAACCACCTTTTTGTTGCTTTCTTCTGAAAAAATCCTGTTTGATACATAGGTAGTCCTCCTGTCCGGTACATCATCGGGATACAACACTGCTACTTCTCGTTTTGCATATGCATCCAGCTCAATAAAGCATGTTCTATTAAAAAGAATATCAGGATTACTAATAGGGATCAATAACCTTTCCCTCGAGTATATGCCATGGTCGCTCATCATATTGTTCAAACGCTTTATGTCCATTACCTATCAAAACATTAAAATATCATCAAATGTTGTTAACAAGCAAAAACCATGAGAAAAACAACAAAAAAAAAATTCTACGCCCTGTCAATGTAAAATTCTTTACACTCTTGCCCAATTAGAAAATATGTCAAGTATGAATTTTATAGTAGTTATTATAAAATTTAACAATACTGTTATAAATTGGGCCTAAGCCCAACTTATCCGAAATCATTAATACCAATTGTGCCTACTGCCTAGGAAAGTTGATCTTCTGGTGCTAAAGTCACATGAATACCCAATGAAGTAGAATACAACTGCCTTTACGGGGCCTTAGCCCCTAAGCCACATATTCTAGCTCAGATCTAGCACATATACAAATATACTTCTAATGTCACTGTATGTGCATTTATTAACATTACCCTTTGTGTGGGGCTCTTTACTAACTTTGGTATCAAAGTGTCTTTACATATATCCCATCATTGCTTGTGCAAACCGGATTCAAGGAATTGGACTATTACACATGAAGGCAATTCATCTATCAGTATAGGCCAACCAGTCACAAAGAATTCAGACCACCACCTTACACACTTCAGTATATAGTGTAAAAACCTTTTACACATACAGTGCATTAACTACTGAGTAAATTACATTGACAACTCTTAGATTTTATGAAATTGCACAAAACCTCCATTAGAGGAGGATCCTAGTGAAATGTTTTCCGATCAAATAACGGGGATTTAATGTAATCTATAAAGAGTGTAAGTGTAACGTTTCAAACAATTAAGAGTTTAGTGTAGCGACAAAAAAAAAAGTAGGGCTGTGTGTGCAATATCACCAAACCTCAGGTATCTGTGTATTTACTCTAAACTATTTACTGAAAAGGCTTTCACAGCATAAATGGTCTCTAAAAAACTTTGAAAATAGGATTTGGCTTTGAAGAGGCTTTTTCAACGGTTGATTGGAAAATTAAGGGAATGATTAGTTATAATTGAATAAATTGCGTTCCAAAAATGCTTCTACAACACTGACAAAAGTAGCAGCGAGAAGTGAAAACCTAACAACCTAGAATGACGAGTGCATTTGGCGGTGTGGAAAGTAATGAGAATGGAGTGGCAGCGCAGGCATAGATACCTGAACGGAGTACTTGACGGCGAGGCTGGCAACGGTGTCGCCGCGCGCAATGCGATGGGAGATGGCGAATTTGGCGAGGGAGTTGTCACGCCAGAAGCTTCGAGAGAGAGGGTCGCCGAGAACGGCCTTCAATTTCCAGGGGGCGGCGAAGGCTGCGGTTAGCATGTCCCGGTGGGAGGCGACGGAGTTCCAGAGGCGGCAGACGCAGCTGGCGCGGGCGAGATCGGGGACGGGAAGGTTGTGGAAGATGATGCGGAGGATGTCGGTGGAGGAGAGCGGCCAGAAATGAGAATTCATGGGCGAGATCACGGTGGAGGTGGCGGCGGCGGCGGCGGCGGAGGAGGGGAAACTGGAATTGATGAGATGTCTGAAAATGTCGGCGTCGTCTTCGTGGCAGCAACAAGGCATTGTTATGTGTACAGAGAGAAAACCACGTCTTGCTTCATCTCCCACCCTATCTACTTCTCAACATTCAACAACCAATCAATGTACAAAAACATTCATTCTAAATATCTAAAGGAATTAAATTAAAACAACACAATTATATATAAAAAGAGAAATCCATTTATTTCAAGAATAATTTTATCAACACTTACTCTAAAAGTAAGTCTATTTACACTTACTTTGTTCAATAACTCATGTTTTACGTCAAATTTTAATGATTTAATTATTGAATTTAAAGTTTTTAATATATAGATTAAATTTACAAATATTTTAAAAATTAAAAAACTATTTAATATTTTATTTTATTAATTCAAATTAATGTATAAAATGATTTTATAATTATCTCTTAATTTGAATTAATGAAATAAAGAATAAAATGATTTATAGATTTAATCTATATATTAAGAACTTTTAATTCAACGGTTGAATCATTAAAATTTAATATAAAATATGAGTTATTGAATATAGTAAATCTAGATAAATTTACTCCTAAAATAAATAAATAAATATATATATAAGTTTCTAGAAGAGAAAAAAGGTAGTAAATATTTGGGTTTGGAAATAAATAGTGTGATGAGTATGGAAAATCCAACCTCTGTGGGCTCCCAGCTTTTAAACTGTTTCGCTCATGACTCCGAATGCGATATATCTTATCCTCACAAAGCTAACTCATTATTACTCCTATTTATAGCATTTACAATACTTGGTTTTTTTATATATATAAAATCTAATTTATATTATTATATATTAATTATTTTTATATTAAAATATATTCTCTTAAATTAGTAAGATCACTACAAGAAAGTTATCATACAGTGATACACACTCTATAGTGATACTATACATGTCACTAAAAATTAATTTTACTGACACAATAACTATAATATATGTTGATATATTATTAAAAAGTGTGGATATATGCATAGTGACACACGAAATGTGTTGTTAAGTCTTATTCAAAATCAATACTAAAATTGTATGTAACTATATGTCAAATAGATATATATCTACATATATTATACTTATAGTGACACTTTCTGTATACCATTATATGTAACATTTCTTGTAGTAGATGCATAAATTATACACTCTTTGAAAAAAATATATTCTAATTGATTAAAAAATAGACAAATACTATTTATGATAGATAAATAGTAGATATTGTAATTGATTGAAAAGATATATAAATATTAATTATGAAAGATAAATAATATAAAAGTAGTTTTAGAAAAATATATATAAATAAGATAAATTTATTATTATTAATTAAATTTGTTATTATTTTTAATTTTAGTGAATTGGATTACTAAGGTTTATAAGTAGTATTTTATTTTCATTGCTTGAGCTATCAGTTGGCCAAAACATTGAAGAAACTAAGAACATAACTCAATAATTTTAGGATCCCAATAATTTTTTGTAATGTCTCTGTCATTTTGTTATTTTAAACTAACCTTTCATTTCATTTTACTTTTTTTCTAGTGTGGTGCTTTAATGTTCTTAATTAGAAGTGGCAAAACAGACTATCCAACTTGATGTATACAAGCCTAATGGTTGCGAGTTAACAGGTAGAAAAGAAAAATATGAAAGTATGGTTTGTTTTTAACTTTAAAATGAAACTTAATTATGGTGAAAGCCATACTTTTTCAAACATTTTAATAGTTTGTTAATATGAATTGAGTCCGGATTAGATCATGAACAAATAAAATTAAAAAAAATCCATATTTAAATCAGGTTGAAAAATTAAAATTCCAACCTATATTTAATGGAAGAAGTTATGATCAATTCAATTCATTTTATCACTTATGTTTAATTAACCATTCATTGGTTATTGCTAGATTGATGTACAAGCTGAAATAATTGACAAAAGTTGGCAGAATCGTTAAATTTCGTGCAACATATGTATATTTTTATCTTTTATTCTTTTCCGTAGGCAGCGATTGAAGCATGACAAATTGGGAATTCAAACTTTTAATTGTAATTATCTTATTCATTTTTGTAGTAAAATAAAGTTTTAAAGCTGAGTATTTAAAACAGTTTTTTAATATACATTTTATTATTTTTAAAATATACTAAGAATCATACAATTATGAGTGATATTCATTAAATAAAAAAAATATTTACAAGAATTTATAATTTAAAATAAATTAAATGAATAATAAAATAATTTGTGTTGTGTATTATTGGAAGAGTGATGAGGGTTGCCGACAGTGTCTCCCTGTACTAACCACTGCCGCCGTAACCATTGTTATGTTTCTAACCATCTTCGTGATGTTTTTTAAGGTTTAACTTGATTAATTTATTTAAGCAACTTGAATTGAAAGTTTTAGTTTCACTTCTAAAAAAAAATAATCTTAAACTTACTTGCTTAACACATTTCGAACTTTTTTATTTTTTATTTTATGATTTTTTCTGAAATTATTTTTAAACTTTATTAATATATAATTTAATAATTATCTTAGCATTTAACGGTTATCTACTAATAGAGAAATGTGCGCATGTCATAGCCTATTGATTGTTACGATAAAAAATAAAAATAAAAAAAGTTTATTTTTTTTATAGTTTTGATAAAAAATAAGTAAAAAAACTATTTTTAATAAAAATTACTAGTAAAATATTATATAAATTGTTTTCATGTATAAACAATTTAAAGTTCAAACTCATTAAATTTAATTATCAGTTTCTCTTAAAATAAAGTAAACTAATTTAAACATATGATATTTTCTTTTGTCGAAAATGTCATGAAACGTATTTTGCTTTTCTTATTTTTGTCATTTGTCAAAAATCGTTCAATTGCAACCACATGATATTTTTTTTAAAAAAAAATAATCCATAACTATTATAAAGGGATATAAGAGATGTAACCGTTTTTTAATCTCTATTTTTTAGTAGATTATTATACTCCTAGATATAAAAAAAAATCTTAAATTTTATTTAAATAATTATACACAATTTTTTAATATTTTATTAGTGAATAATTATTAAAGGCACGAGTGCCTCTACTCCTCTAATAATAATTACGTTGGTACACAGATGGACCTTATTTATGGAACAGCCTTGAACTATGTTTCATGAAGCCCTAAAAACACTCTACAGTCCAGGTAGTGTCCAATTTTGGTATATGGGCCAATCTCTTCGCGGGCAACACACTCACCTTTCATACTATTTTTGTCATGGGCTCAGCCATATCAAGCCCGTGTCCACACTTTTCATTTTATTTTATTGGGATAAAACTAAACGCAGTACTACAATTATTATAAATACTACTTTCTAACATTTTTTTAACTTTAAAAAATTGTTTCTTAAAAAATTATTTTTTTAGCAAGTAGATAAAAAAAAATTTCTTTAAAAAATTGTTTTTTTTAATTAAGCAGTTTAAAAAATACTTTAAAAATTAACTAATTATATTTAAACCAGCCACTTTAATTAAACTCTAAATCAAACAAACACTTCCTTTATTAAATGATGATAAATCAAGAAACGAATTAAAGACTTATTATTGTTGAAGTTCGAAAAAAAAAATGATAACTCAACAATTTTCGTCGTTATTAAGGCATTCCTATCACTGCTTCAACTTTCCCTTCATCTTTCATAAGTTTCTCTTGGTGTGTCGTACAAGTTATGGATAAACAAAATAAATGAGTTAATTGAGTTATAAATTTTGTTGGATTCGTAGCCTTGGTATTATAAATATTAAATAGTAGTTTCTAGAAGAGAAAAAAGGTAGTAAATATTTGGGTTTGGAAATAAATAGTGTGATGAGTATGGAAAATCCAACCTCTGTGGGCTCCCAGCTTTTAAACTGTTTCGCTCATGACTCCGAATGCGATATATCTTATCCTCACAAAGCTAACTCATTATTACTCCTATTTAGATCGGAAGGGGGGCTCAAAACATGGGCGCGGGGACCCGAAACATGAAAGTGAGAATTTTGATGGAAACAATGTTGATGCCAAGTAAATAATAAACTTCAATGAATGTGTTGTGCAAGTACATTGCTTGATTACATGTGCATGATAAGTACCGAACTTTGGTACAAATGTTGTGGATGCTAAGCATTTATTGTACTTGAATGCATGAGTTAGATATGGACCAAACTTTTGATGATGCAAATGACAAATATGCATTGAGCTTGAATGAATGTGGATACAGTGATACACACTCTATAGTGATACTATACATGTCACTAAAAATTAATTTTACTGACACAATAACTATAATATATGTTGATATATTATTAAAAAGTGTGGATATATGCATAGTGACACACGAAATGTGTTGTTAAGTCTTATTCAAAATCAATACTAAAATTGTATGTAACTATATGTCAAATAGATATATATCTACATATATTATACTTATAGTGACACTTTCTGTATACCATTATATGTAACATTTCTTGTAGTAGATGCATAAATTATACACTCTTTGAAAAAAATATATTCTAATTGATTAAAAAATAGACAAATACTATTTATGATAGATAAATAGTAGATATTGTAATTGATTGAAAAGATATATAAATATTAATTATGAAAGATAAATAATATAAAAGTAGTTTTAGAAAAATATATATAAATAAGATAAATTTATTATTATTAATTAAATTTGTTATTATTTTTAATTTTAGTGAATTGGATTACTAAGGTTTATAAGTAGTATTTTATTTTCATTGCTTGAGCTATCAGTTGGCCAAAACATTGAAGAAACTAAGAACATAACTCAATAATTTTAGGATCCCAATAATTTTTTGTAATGTCTCTGTCATTTTGTTATTTTAAACTAACCTTTCATTTCATTTTACTTTTTTTCTAGTGTGGTGCTTTAATGTTCTTAATTAGAAGTGGCAAAACAGACTATCCAACTTGATGTATACAAGCCTAATGGTTGCGAGTTAACAGGTAGAAAAGAAAAATATGAAAGTATGGTTTGTTTTTAACTTTAAAATGAAACTTAATTATGGTGAAAGCCATACTTTTTCAAACATTTTAATAGTTTGTTAATATGAATTGAGTCCGGATTAGATCATGAACAAATAAAATTAAAAAAAATCCATATTTAAATCAGGTTGAAAAATTAAAATTCCAACCTATATTTAATGGAAGAAGTTATGATCAATTCAATTCATTTTATCACTTATGTTTAATTAACCATTCATTGGTTATTGCTAGATTGATGTACAAGCTGAAATAATTGACAAAAGTTGGCAGAATCGTTAAATTTCGTGCAACATATGTATATTTTTATCTTTTATTCTTTTCCGTAGGCAGCGATTGAAGCATGACAAATTGGGAATTCAAACTTTTAATTGTAATTATCTTATTCATTTTTGTAGTAAAATAAAGTTTTAAAGCTGAGTATTTAAAACAGTTTTTTAATATACATTTTATTATTTTTAAAATATACTAAGAATCATACAATTATGAGTGATATTCATTAAATAAAAAAAATATTTACAAGAATTTATAATTTAAAATAAATTAAATGAATAATAAAATAATTTGTGTTGTGTATTATTGGAAGAGTGATGAGGGTTGCCGACAGTGTCTCCCTGTACTAACCACTGCCGCCGTAACCATTGTTATGTTTCTAACCATCTTCCAATTATTATTTCTCATCAACTATACGAGTTTATATTTTGGGAACATTATTAGACACGTGTCAAACTTTTTTTAATTACTAAATCACGTAAACTTTTAGAATTGGAGTTCATTTCAATAATAGGAAATATTTTTAATTTATATATATATATATATATATAACATGTAACATCGTATATTTTAGATAAAACTAAACGCAGTACTACAATTATTATAAATACTACTTTCTAACATTTTTTTAACTTTAAAAAATTGTTTCTTAAAAAATTATTTTTTTAGCAAGTAGATAAAAAAAAATTTCTTTAAAAAATTGTTTTTTTTAATTAAGCAGTTTAAAAAATACTTTAAAAATTAACTAATTATATTTAAACCAGCCACTTTAATTAAACTCTAAATCAAACAAACACTTCCTTTATTAAATGATGATAAATCAAGAAACGAATTAAAGACTTATTATTGTTGAAGTTCGAAAAAAAAAATGATAACTCAACAATTTTCGTCGTTATTAAGGCATTCCTATCACTGCTTCAACTTTCCCTTCATCTTTCATAAGTTTCTCTTGGTGTGTCGTACAAGTTATGGATAAACAAAATAAATGAGTTAATTGAGTTATAAATTTTGTTGGATTCGTAGCCTTGGTATTATAAATATTAAATAGTAGTTTCTAGAAGAGAAAAAAGGTAGTAAATATTTGGGTTTGGAAATAAATAGTGTGATGAGTATGGAAAATCCAACCTCTGTGGGCTCCCAGCTTTTAAACTGTTTCGCTCATGACTCCGAATGCGATATATCTTATCCTCACAAAGCTAACTCATTATTACTCCTATTTATAGCATTTACAATACTTGGTTTTTTTATATATATAAAATCTAATTTATATTATTATATATTAATTATTTTTATATTAAAATATATTCTCTTAAATTAGTAAGATCACTACAAGAAAGTTATCATACAGTGATACACACTCTATAGTGATACTATACATGTCACTAAAAATTAATTTTACTGACACAATAACTATAATATATGTTGATATATTATTAAAAAGTGTGGATATATGCATAGTGACACACGAAATGTGTTGTTAAGTCTTATTCAAAATCAATACTAAAATATATATATATATATATATAACAACTATCCTACTTAAAAAATCATTGCTCTCTTAAAAAAATATATTTTCTTTAAAAATAATAACACTAATTTATTTTATTTTTTACGGAAATACTTTCATTACTAGTACAATATCATGTTAATGGTGTTAATGGTGTACAATATCATGTTAGTATGTTAACCACAGTATGTTAGTAGATTTTGTTAAATATTTAATGTGAAATTAAGGAACTACAAATTGTATAATTATAATATATGATTCATTATTAAAAAAGTAAATATATTTAAAATATAAAGTGTATTAATATTTATCATTAAATTGATATTCGTTAATCATTAAATTTTGATGTTGTTTGATGATTTGTCATTATTTAAGTAACGTAATACTTAATGGTATGACATAAGGGATAAAAGTTAAAAAACATTCCCTCTATTTTTTTTATAGTTGTTTTGAAACTATTTTTTTTGTTATTTTTTCATTACCACTTTTTAAAAATCAATGACTTATTAATTTTTTTTTTCATTTTTACCATTGATAATTAATATATATTTACTGTGTAATGTGTTTATTCATTTTCAATGTATCTATTTATTTTCCAATCACCTAAAAGATATAACAGAAAAATAAGTAATAAATATTTTAAAAAATTAAAATATCAATTATTTTCTTAATTTTTATGTATAAATCTTAAACGTCAAATAAAAAAAAACAAAAAAAAGAAACTTATAAAATATTTTTATTTATATTTATTTTAGCAAATAATTGATATTTATTTTATTAATAAATATTATTTATATAATTAATTTTAATTTGTTTTTCTTTTAAAATCATGTTACTAAATACTATACCATTTAAGTATTAACAAATATAAATAATGCAACATAACAATGAAATAAAAAAAAAATTTAGACCCGCACTCAAATATGTGAAGTTAATGCAACAAACAAGTGAAATATTTGCAAACCTCACAAGTTATAATTAATAACATCACATTACATTTGCTAATAAAAAAAAACATCACATTACATTATGATTACATTTTCATAATGTAATGTAATGGTGGTGATTAATGTCACTTCACAAATAATTAATATTAATTACATTGATAACTAAATATTTATTACTATTTCGGTATCATTTTAATAGTTGTATAAGATTGAACGTAATAAAATTTCATTTCTTATAAAATAAATTTTATCTTTCTTATTAAATATAATCTAACTGTCGATTTATAAATTAATTAAAAAATATATAAAAATATAAGGATATAATTGATAAAAAAAGTAATTAATGTTATCATCAACTTTGAAAATGACATATAAATATAAATAAAATTTTCTTAAAAAACAAATGATATAATGATAAGAGGAAATAGGAATTGTATTTAGATAAATTTCTCTAAAAAACATATTTTCATAAACCAAAATTAACCTATAAAAAAATTAATTTATAAAAATTCTCTTCTATTAATTTCTTGAAAATTTTATTTTAATTTATGCATAAATTAATTTTAGTTTGTAAAAAAATTCTTCTAAGTTTTTTTTCTTTCATATTTTACCCTGCTATATAATAAATGTTTATAGAGGAGGAACACGATCAGCCCATAGTATTAAACATTTATGAAATAAAATTAATCATATTTATAAACATAATTAACTCTTGGCTTGAGTGGACATTGGGTGGAGATATACAGGTGGTAGAGGGGACAAGAATAGTTGGCATTGAATGTATGATTCCTTGAATGAAATGAATGGGGAAAAATGCTATAGACATTAAAGAGAAATCCTCACCACCAGAAACCCGAAAAAAGGAAAAACCACAAGAGCACAAATATGGACATTAAAACTACAATATAGTAGCCAGAGAGCGTTATTGTAGTACTATTGATTTGTTCTCAAATTCCTCTAACTGGGAATTTCACTGCTGGGCGCTGTTTGATTCCACTCACAAACCCATCATTTTTCTGTACAGTTTTCTTGGTCCTCAATGGCGAAAGTGAAACCAATCTGGATGCTATTCTTGAAGGAGAGAAAGATCGCCGGAATTTAGCTGCAGTGGAAGTGGATCTCTTGGGAGGACTCCTGCTCAACCTTGCAGCTCTTGTGGGTGAAGAAATAGACACACTTGGTTGGTTTTTGATTTGGACATGAAATTTGGAAGTTGAAGTTGGAGACTTGATCAAAAACTTGTGTGGTGTTCCTCCTCTACTTCTTGACATGATAGGGGATTTGGTTTTGCAGTTTTGTTGCTGTGAAGATGGAGACTTGATAAAAAACTTGTGAGATGTTGTTGTTCCTCTATTTCTTGATATGATAGGTGACCTTGTTTTGCAAAATTGTTGCTGCTGTGAGGAAGAGTGAGTGGAAAGGAACAAAGGGTTGGGGAAAAGTACTGTTTTTCTAGCCCATGGTCTATTCCTTGGGGACACCCTATTTGCCATGTACCTTTCTTTATCAAATTCCCTGACCTTAGGAGGAGAAACCTTGAAGTTGATTCTGGAACGTGCCCTTTGAAGTGATGGGGAACCATCATTCTGTGCTTTGGTTTGCTTCTCTTTCTTCCTTCTGGCCCTGAGTTGTGTGCTTTCAGGTTCTACTTTGTGGTTTCTACGTTGAGACATTGGAGTTTTTGGGTCATCTGAGGCAGTTTTCTTACCAACTCCTGAGACTATTTCTCTGGCAAACTGACTTGCCTGCAGAATTTCTCCAACAGTTTCTCCTACAAGCATTGCAGGCAGTGACATTCTCTTCCATTCGCCTGCATGAGGGTTTCACAAGGTATAGATTAAGTAAAAGGAATGCCAGTTGCTGCTACCCATGATGTCAATGATCATGTAAAAGTAGAGATTTATTTGCAAATGAATTGAGAGAACAAATAAGACCTGTGTTTGCTGGAAACTTCCCCACAGGAGATTTCCTTGTGGCACCATTCTTGATCCTTCAAATTTGCAACAACAAACAAAGCATTTGCGTTTACTAACTTGCAACAACAAATAGCAAAACTTAAAAGTGTAAACACATACCATTTGGGTTTACGGACTTGCAACAACATATAGCTACAGCTTGAAGTGTAAAAACAAACCGTTTGAGTTTACTAACTTGCTACAACATATAGCAAAAGCTTAAAAAGAGTTTGTTCGGACAAGGTTTCTCCATCGTAAATAGAGGTTTTGCATGTGAAATACGAATAAAAATACTTCTAATTTGTATACAAACAAACTAGAAGTATAAAAACAAACAACAAATAATGCATACATTCAATCACAAATCATGCTAACTTGTTAACTTTTACAGGCATATTGCATAGAAATTAAACTCAACGATTAAGATAAAATATGGTGATCATGAAAAAAAATTGAAATTCAAATAGAATCCAAAGCAGCAGACCTGAGTGATTCTTGCTTGCACCTGAGACTGGTTCTGAGATAACCTCTGGTGCTGCGAGGGCTGAGACTCACCCCTGACACCACCTTGGTTCCACCAGTTACAGTGTACTGAAGCTCCTGCAGCCGAGCCACGCACTGATCCACCTTCAAAGACCCACAACAATTCACTCACAAAAATTCAAAATTTATCCGGTGTCATTAGCAAAAGTCACTGGAATTATCGTGGATTACCTTGTTGAGTGTTTCTTTAATCAGAACGGGATTGAGAGCAGCCAACAGTTTCTTCTGCTTTGGTGGGGTTCTCGCGACCATCTTCGGAATATCCTAGGAATGAAAACAAACACACAAGAGGTGGGTCTCAAGAATTTCGGTCACTCAAACGATCCCAACCAAAGATTGGATCTGAACTCTCTCACTCACTCACTCTCTCTCTCTCTATGAAGAACACACTGACCCCAAAACCTTTTGCTTTTTGTTGCAGAGTTGGGCTCCCAAGTGTTGATGTCAACAAACACGAAGTCTGTGTAACGTTTGTTTTCCAACGGTCGACTAAATCTATTATCTTAAGGAAGCTAATTGCAACGGCTATATGGAGCTTTCGGCTTGATTATGTGGGGAGTTTCAATAAGTCAAAAAAGCTTTTCAATATAAATTTATAAAGCTGACTTTCAGTTTAAAGTTGTTTTCCTTTTCATCGATACAAATTAAAAAATATACATACATATATAATATTTTTTAAATATTTTAAAAATAAGTTCTTCATGCTATTTTCACTATTTTTTTTTTTGCTAAAAATATCTTTCGATTGATATTAGTAATCCAATTTCTGTCTACGTACATATTAAAAAAAAAGCTATTACTACCTTCATTCCTATATATTAAAAAATAAAAACTCAATTCACTATGATAATGAGAATAGTCAAATTAATTGTAATTAATTATGTTATAATTTGATATTTTATTTTAAAATTATCTATAGAACTAAATGATGTAAGTAATAATTATATTTGATGACAATACTTAAAAGTTAGAAAATGATTTTTTTAAATCAATAAATATACTTTATGTTAGTTGCTTAATAAATATATCTACTTTTATGGAAGGTGGGTAATTAACTCATTAATAAATTCATAATAAAGCAAGAATACATAAGAAAATTATCAATTAATATATTTAAAAGTAGTTATATGTTTCTTATACTTAGAATTAAAATAAGATACAAATTTGTTTCTTTTACATACGAATAGAAGAAGTATTTCATAATTGTATTAAGTTTATTGGTTTAAGTTATCTCGGTGCTAATAAATTTTTTTCAAAAGTGTTGTATTTTTGAGTTGGATGAGTTTTTCATTTACTTTAAAAGTTAAAGTTTTAACTTTTTTTTATATAGCTTAAGAGTTTTAATTTTCACATATTTCTAGTGGAAATCTTTTTCATGATCAGTTAATTAGAAACTGTTTTAAATATACTTTTAAAAATAATTATTACAAAATTTATGATTCAACAATAATACAAAAAAAATAAATTTAAATTAAATTCAAATTTAATTATATGACTCTAAGTATGTTTCAATTAAATTCAAATAAAACTTTGAAGGATGTTTGAGCTGCACCTATTTGATTTTTGGTGCAACCGATGGAGTCTATCATAGAGCATTTTTTTAAACTTGATGTGGACGTCTCAATATTCCTCCATTTTCAGTTTGTGACCCAAGCTAGTTTAATTTCAGATTTGTGTCACCCAAACTGTGTAATAATCTAAAAACTTGAAGAAAAATATGAATTTGGCAACCATAGCTAATAAAATTTGGCAGGATAATAATCATTTTAAATTTGCAACTTAAAAAATCACACCCACTAAGTTCGATAGTCTGGACATGACCTTACAAGTTATATACTCAAGCATTGTATTATTACTCTTGCACCTTTCGTAATATTCTTGTACAGCTTTAATTCTATACTAGGTTGGCTCACACCGGGAAGTTAACTCTAGCGTTTTGGACTACAGATAATTTCTATTTAAACAATTTAAAAGAAAAATGAGATCAGAAATTTGATCAAACATGTTCAACAGCATCCCACTAGATGATGGAACAACATCGACAAGAGTATTTGACATTAATTGTTTGAGAAAGATTAACTGAATCTAAATTGATTCATAAAAAAAAAAACATAATACCCTAATTTATACACGTTGGCATTAGTTCAACAACATAATTTAAAAGTAAATAAATGAATACAAAAGAATTTTACATTTAAAAATGAAATGAGATCAGAAAATTGATCAAACATGTTCAACAACATAGTCTTACTCTTATCCCACTAGGTGATGGAACGACATAAACAAGAGTATTTGCCATTAATTGTTTTGAGAAAGATTAGTTGAATCTAAATCGATTCATAAAACATAATACATACACGTTGGCATTAGTAGTTCCAAAACTTCACTATTTTGTCACATTGTATGAGAAAATCAGAAAACAAGGGATAGGCTTAATGCATATGGGTTGGGCGATATGGCAAGAGTGATGACTTTCTGTTATTTTTCAAGCCGCCTCTCAGCTTGAGAGGACTCCAGATTAAAGGTTTACGTTGAAGAGCAAGAACAGCTGGATGTCTAGTGGATCCCACCCGCGAATCTGCCTGTGTTGGACTGCTCATCATAAACTTACTGCTACTCCTCCTTACAGACATTGGTGTTGTCTCCACAGATGCTGGCAATGGAACAAACAAACTTGAATACCGATCTTTCCTTTGGCTTCTTATCAGTGACTGTTGACTGCTACCACTGGTAACTCGAAATGCGGAGCTACGGAGTGGAGTTGTCATGTCAGATGTGGTCTCAGGGCGGAATGTGGCAATGGAGACTCTCCTTCTTGGCTGAAAGACCTGTGTTGTTGATGATGCAGGAGGTTTCACGGCAATGGACACCCGCCTCCTTGCCTGAAGGAACTGTGTTGTTGTTGATGGCGCGGCTGGCCTCACAGCATTTGTTGGCATTGAGGTCCTTCTAGCAGAGTTTTCCTTTCCATTCATGAATGCTGTGTAACTCTTTGATCTTAAAGGAGACCGTGGAGGCAAGGAGTTATTGGTTATTCTTCTCAGTGGCATTCTCAGTTTTGAAGGATTTAGTGGTGGCTTCTTGTCTGTCATGGTCTTATGAGATGTTGTGTGTTGTGATGATGATGAAGGTTGACCTGAAACAGCAGCAAGAGATCTACTTTCTTGCTTTAGTCTAGTTTTTCTTTCTTCTGCTATCTGGCTCTCCAGGTCCCGAACCTGTCATCATGGAATTTATGAAATTATGAATACATTGAAAAAGATAAAAGAAATCCTACAAGTTATTTGCATTGCATGAATAATTTTGAAGATTATTATACCTTTTCCTGAAGGGTTCTACAATGGTGTTCTCTTGCAGCAAGCCTGAGTTGCAAGATTTGCAAGTTATCCTGTAATTTCTTCGTTTCCTTTTCGTCTTGTTTTAGCTTTTCTGCCTTCAATTTTGACAACACAATTTGGAGTTTCAGGAATTTAAAAGATCATGGTTATTCTTATTTGAACAATTCTACACTAGCTTACCATTTGCTTGTACTTCATCAGCTCGGTGTGGTCTACTTGCTTGCGCGCTGGGCCACTCTCAATTCCTCGGACACGGGTGGCGAAATTCAGTGAGCAAAGTGTCTCTCCCAAGTCTGCGGCGCTCGGACTTACCTGCACAAACATTAGTGTTTTGCAGTCTCCTCCTGCATTTCAGCCCCAGATCAAACATTATAAGTTAAAAAATTCCAGGTGTATGAGTGAAATTATATCACAGAGGAGTCACTTTGAAATCATAAATTCATAACACTGCACTGGAATCTCACCTAAAGAGCTTTGCAGCATATGAGTGAGTTTTGAATTCCTGTCTCAAACAGAGGATACAAATATAAATGAGAAAAAGGATCATTCCGTAAAATTGTGTTTAAGAGAGGAAAAGAGAATTGCCTGTAAGGGACATGGGCTGATTTTGAAGCTAAAGCAGAAATAACATCACCGAGTGCTGAAAGAGACTTGTTTATAAATTGAGATTCCTTCAGTCTTTCTCCCTCAGCTTCCGTTTTTCCCACACGCTCACTGCCAGCCAAGTCTACCAACCAAAGGTGACTCTTTGTTTTCTGGCCATTAACCAAGTTTTCTCCCATTACAGTTACTCGTAACAAGCTGCAAGTAAAACCACCTATTGTTCATTATCTATAATGTGAAATAACTCCTATAGTTTCATAGAGATAATTTTGTTATACCTATGGATGAAAAGAAAGCAACTGGGTCAGCTTAAAAAATGGCATTCAAGGAAAATAATTGTTATTTAATCTGATTGAAATATTAAAAGAATTAAGATTTTGAAAAACTATAAAAATACAAAAAGTAAATATGAAGTACAGGCAACAATTAGTAAATCTGTAAGAATCAAGATGTACCAATGAGAACGGCTGCTAAGCTCATTAGCACATGTGGATCCAACTGATCTGACTTGGTTTCCAGTCTTAAGCATTCCCCACACATCTTCTGTTCCATAAACACGAGCTTCAACAAGTCCTGGGATTTCTTGGGTTCCTTCTGCAGCTTGCTTTATCTCCAATCTGAAGTTAGAAATTTTGTTCTCTCATCAGTGATACCACTCAAGAAACATTTTGTACATCAAAATTTAATACATGCTGTTAGGTAGAAGAAAAACTGGAGACTACATTATTCAACTTATTTGCTGTTACAAATCTAGTTGAAATGTAGAGATGGTAAAAAAGCTACGTAGCTCAAAAGAATGTATTGTTCAGATCCAATAAACTATAATGTCATGTTTCTTTTTCTTCAGACCCTTTATCCAGCAAATCAATGTCACAGGAATTATCAGATCTTGTTTTAATTAACATCATATGCAAATGGCTGTTAAATTCTAAAATAAAGAGCTAAAAACTACAATGCTAATTCCTCCAAGAGACCTGAGAACTCACTTTTTAGTGGGTTGGGTGGAATTTTCCACCAAGAGATCTCTTATCTTCTCATTGTAGACCTCCAGCATGCTAACAGACAATTCATACTTCATTGTGCCATGTCTCTCTTCAGTTATCCGAAACAGTTCTTCCAGGGTTCTGTAGTTAACTCCCCTGTGTTCTGGTGTTCCCTCCATTGTAAACGTTTTCCCAGTTCCAGTTTGTCCATAGGCAAATATGCAGACGTTATACCCATCCAATACTGATGTAACAATGGGTTTGGTCTGCTGAAAAACAGCTTCTGCATAACAATAAAGGCATTCAGGTTCAATAACATTCCATTAGAAAAAAAGCTTTCTTCATTTCAATACCAACAAAAAATGTTAACTTCTCTTGTACCTTGGTTAGCTTCCGGCCCAAATACATGATCAAATTTAAATTGCTTCTTAGAAGAATCTGAGCAAATAACTTGAAGCTCATTATCTAAAGACGACTCAAAATTGACAACAGATGCAGTCCCATTAGAAATTTCACTCTCATTTAATGGTCTGCATCTGCAGAAAACTCTGATGTTTCCCTTGAGTTCTATTACTTCATTGTAAAGCCGCCTACGCTCTGAGGACTCCTCCAGGTACTTTCTTTTCAAGAGTTCATATTCATCACCTAGTACAACATAAAAATCCCAAAACCAATTAAAATTGTAACTAAACTAACGACATACACAGAGAGAGAGAGAGAGAGTATATTCAATTTGTCATTCATTTTTGTAATTTTATACTAGAGCCATACCGAGAAGCTGCACGGACTTCAAAACATCAGTGCCGGGAAAAGATTCGGCACTGAGTTTCACTTCATCAGACAAGGCGATATGCTGCTTCTTCAAATCCTAATGCATGAATCATAAGTTTCAGGCAAACTAAACGGTGAAGAAGATAAACAGAACACGAACTGAGAATCCATAACTGTGAGGCAACGAAAGAGACAGGATAACCAACATTAAAAATTTACCTGAAATTTCATACTCAGATCAATTATTTTCCTCAATATGGGAAGTGTGTGACCATTATCAGGAGAAGCTTCATGAATTCCATTGGACATGCTGTTTTCATCCATGGAGTCGGAGTTCTCGTTTACTTGCTTTGATTCATCATCTGATGCAATTCCAAAATTCAATAAACCATCCAAAAGCACAATTAACAACGTAATTCGGCTGAGATATCGAAGGAAGTGATAAAATAAAAATAATATTTTTTTCGATCTAACAAATGGAAATGGAAAATTGAACAGAGAATAGCGAGGGAACCTGGGTGATGAGCGATTGGCGGTTGCTGCTTCAGTTCGCAGTCAAGAACGAAGCGGTGGAATTTTTCAGCCAGCATTTTGATTTGAATGGATTGATCTGCAAGAATCGGTGAGTTGCGTTAAAGAATAGGGCAATTCAAGTGATTGGTGAATTGAGAAAAAAAAAAAAAAAAAAGAGTACCGGTCATGACTTCTGGGAGAAGAATGAGACACGATTCAAAGATTGAACTTTCTGAGAGATAGAGAGCGCAAGAGAGAGAGAGAGAGAGAGAGAATAGTACTGTAGGGTTCTTTTCTTTGTAAGATTTCAAAGTTTGAAATTGCAACGGCTACATGCCTATATCAATTATCAGATTCGCCGGAGCGTCTACCTTACGGACTTCCATCTTTGGGCCTTAGTATGGGCCTCGTAGTAGCTTCAAAACGCCCAACCTTCTCGTTAGAGTGGGCTGGGCTGGGCTGATTTTTTATTTTTAAAATTAACTCCACTCATATTGATCCGATCGTAAGTAAATATTAATTTCATATCCATAAAAAATAAATAACCGATTAAAATATAATAAGTCTTAACTAAAATTATTATTATAAAAAAACAAAAATTAGTATAACTCTTGAATAGATAAAATAATAGCATATAAACTCATTGAAAAAGATATAAATAATCTATACTTACTAATATATAAAAAATATCTCTTTTAATAATCACCTTTAATTTTCATATTTAATAAATTATTATACTTTTTTATTATTAAAAATCTAATATATTTTTTATTAATTATTATTCTCTTTTAATAACTATACACTTTACTACTTTTATTATTTAACTACCTTTATTACTTAATATTTTTATTTTATTTTATTTTTAAAATTTTAAATTAAATATAGATACATAAAGTATTTCGATCCCATTAATTAATAATAAATAAATGGAATCACTATAAATAATTATTCTTTTTAATCAAATTACTAATATTAAAAAAAATTACAGCATAACCTAAAGGAATTAATTTTTTTAAAAGCTCCATTTATTTTACTTTTTAATAAATATTTATTGAGAATTTTATTCAAATGTTATATAACCTTTAAACTTATAATGCTATTTTAAAAAATATTATAAGATTATTACACTCAAATTAATACATTTTGCATAGGGGGATAATTTCTAAAACGATGATATAACACTTTTTAAAAGTATAATTTAATTTAAAATATAGATTATAAACCGATATTTGATTTTAAATTTTTGTTAATTAATTTGGTACCTACAATGTCTAAATTTAAGTGAGTAAAATTCCTTTGGTTTAGTAACAACGATTTCCATATATGAAAAAATTGTCTTTTTTATCATCGAAATCATAATCATAAAATTGGAACATGTGTTCTAGTGTTCTACCTCAATTTTCACTGGTAAGCCATCAGTTGTACAAGTGAAATTGGGGATCGAAGTAAATAAATTAGCCAATCAAATACATGATTGGATGGAGGATGAGGCTGGGGAGAAAGGAAGGGATCCTAATACAATTACAAAGAAATTAAATTAAATTAAAATTTAAAAGCGAGGGACCAAACACTTGATCATATTCATACCAAGTTGCAAGCCATTTGCAACATTCATGGATTTATCCATGGCCTTTTAGCAAGGAGCAGATTAATGCATAAAAAACAACAACATAAATGGCTTCTTCAACCATAACCTGCACCAACTTCCACTGTAACTACAATTCTTCAATATCCCTTCCAACCTCAGCCACTCGTTTTTCCTTATCTTTCTCAAACTCTCTATTTTGCACCTACAATGGCCTTTCCCTTCACACTGCAACTTCCACCTCCACTGTTTTTGCCAAGTTTGAGAAATTCCAAACACAACCTTCCCAATCTCAAGAGCCTGACCCTGAACCTGACCCTTCATCCTCACTAGAACAAAATACAATAACTTCTGTCGAGGATGATGAGGAAGATGACAGGTATTGTTAATTATACTATTTTACAATTTGAACTTTCTAAATTATATACTTTTTCCTCCCAATTTATATGTTATTTATAAGTCTCAGACAACAGTGGATAGATACTGTTATATTTTCCATTCATTTGACTCTTATCTTCAGAATTATATGAGTTTTGTTTTGTTCTGAATTGTGTTCTTCAGCGTGCTTGAGCCGTTTGAGTATGTCCATCAATTTTGAGTCCCACCATATATTTTTAAGTCATATGGGGAATAGAAAGTTGGTAGATTGATGAAGTTAGATATACACTCCAAAGGGTATCAAAAAGTTGTTCACTTTTTTCTTTTTGTTTCAGTTGCTTGCCTTCAGACTTGGAGGGTGCAGTGCGGCAATCAAGTGTGGCCGCGGCTTCATTTGTTTCTTCAGGAGGGATGAGAGCCACAGTATGTACCACAATTTCATTTTCTTTCTTTCTTGATTTCAACATTCCACATGTCATTTATTAATGCCAAGTATGCACTGCTGCTGGTTGCTATTAGGTGAAACTATTCTAAATTAAAAATGAGTTTAATTTATAGACTCTTTGAGTGTAAAATGTTTTTACACAGACATCTAATAAGATTTGATCATTTTGCTACGTGATCCTACTCGTTAATATGATTTTGCGACAAAATAATTTTCTTTTAGATGTCTACATATTCAGGGTGGGGATTTTTAACTTAAATCCGTTGTGTTGATCATCTTCTTTGGTATTGCAATCTTTCTTACGAGCCCTGCCGTCTTAGCCTTGTTAAGATTAACAACATTCTAAATTTGACATGTTAAATGTGAGTAAAAGTAGGACCAAACTTAATTTTTTTTTTATTATTTTACATCTCAAGTAACTAAATGTTTAAGCCAGGGAAGTTTAGTGTTAGAAACTGTTGCCATGTAGAATGCAGTTTAATAGGTGGGTTAGAAACTGTTGCTTAGGTCCACATGCTTCTTGCATTAAAATATTTAATTGTATTACAGGTTGAACTTTTAATCCCCCAACTGCAATTTTTAGATGACGAAGGTGCACAGGTGGAACTCTGGGAATTGTCAAGGATTTTTTTGGATACACTCATTGAACAAACAAAATACCAGGTTAGTGTGATGTATTCCGGTAGTCACAAACTTATAGCACATGAAATGTACAAAGGATTTTCTGAATTCGTAATGATTTTTCTATTCCCTATATCTTAGACCTTCTATTATATTCTCCATGATGTGATTGCATGTGTTATGTTCATTATAGACACCACTGAATCATAACTATAATCCACCCTTGTGGTTTCTCTACTGTGGGATGTACAAACATATTTATGCCATCTATTGTGTCCTACTTGCACTCTGACCAAATGCATGGTCTCCTTTGTAACGTAGGAGGCAGCTAGTGAGTCACTTTACTAGTTATCATTAATTGTTGAAGTCATTTTTATCAAGAGGTAAAAAACATAACTTGCAAAGTTTAAATAAAATTATAAAAATACTAACAGCCTTCAAAATTCATTTGGCACAAGAATCCACAAAATAGATGGCTGTGATATGGTTGCTGACTTTTCTCTGCATGATATAAGTAGCCACAAAATAGATGCTCACGTTAATATGTTATGAATACTGAATTTCCTTAGTATTATCTTCATACTATGGTGCTTCATGTCATGATGAATTTATTGAGGTTTTACGATATGTGTATTAAAGCATTTATTTTGCAAGTTGTAAACTTGGTTGCTAAATTTGATGAATTTGATTGTTAGAGAGTTAAAGCCATATTTCCAGATGCTGGTGCAGCAGCTCTTCTGAAATATCGGTGGAAAGATGCTCAATTTAGATTTGCAAGGTAACTTCCAACACATAGATTAATGCTTTATGTTTTATTCTGTCAGAAAACAGTCATAGGGTGTACTATCATATATTTGATTCAGATTTTTGCATTGGCCTTAAGTACTTGATGGCTATGCTGTTGCAATTCCATTCATAATTTTCTTTTTTCTCTGTATTTATAGTCATGCCATAGTTATATCATGTACAATTCCTTTTGCTGTTTATCCAGCTTAAGTGACCGGAAGCCTGTAGAAAGTGATGATGACATTGTGGTTATGATTGTTCCTGATTATCAGATGTTAGAATATGTACAGAGAATTGCATCCAATCTCTCAAATGATCCAGTAAATCCCTGAACTCTCCTGATCTACCTTTAATGTGATCTTCTGAAATTTAAACATCCACCTGCTGAACAATGTGATAAACTTTCCTCATCAATAGGGAAAGCAATATTTGAAGGCTGCTTATAATGGCAAGGGGTTTAGAAGTAATGATACTTCTCATATTTGTCATTCTTGAGAGCTGCCATAGACTGTGAAATAGCCACCTCACTATGTCATTTCAGTACCTTGCATTTAGTTTAGGAATTGCCATGTATGTTTGTATTTTAATATTCATAACTTCCTTTCAAACTATACATATATTGGCAGCCTACGCCCCTTATCATGTGGAATCCACGCTTGATCAGTGAGGATGTTGGGGTTGGAGTTAATGTCCGGAAGTTAAGGCGCTTCTTTCTAAGGTACCATTTCTGAGCCATTACATATTCTTAAGCTTCAACTGACTGTAAGTAGTATTTACATTAGCTAGAGTTAGATTTTGTGTGCTTGATTTTTTCTGCTACTATCTGTATTAAGTTCCTTGAGTTCTTTTCATTCTCAATGCAGTTCATTTTGTGTATGTGGTTTATTCTTATCATTCTACTAGACTACTAAATTCTGATCTTTTGTTGTACAGCACTTTTACAACTGTCTATTTTATGCGACCTATGCCATTTGGAGCAATCTTTAGGTGTTATCCAGGGTAAGGTCTTTTGTTCCCTCCCATAAGATTATTATTATTATAGAAATATCGGTCTTATTAGCATCTTATTTTGATTTATAAAAAAGAAATTCACTTTTGGGTTTAGAAGTGGATGATTTGGGTTCACTTGATTTCTAGATAGTGTGATCTGGACATGATTCAATATCTTATCCTGTTTCCATGGAAATAAAATTGATGGAATTATACACTGTTATCCGTAAGTAAATACTATAATTGGCTCCTCCAAATATTAATTGCAAAGCTGAATTTATTAATGATTTGTTGTTTGCTTCTTGTTCTGTTGATCTACTTAGATTGTGGAAAGTGTTCAGTGATGACAAGGATAGGCCAAATAGATATTTGCTTGCCAAGGAATTCGAGAGCCGTCCTGATGCTGAAGACCTTGAGGTTAATAGCTTCAATTCTAAACCACCTTGCTAAATAAAACCATTTTTAAGTACATGGTTAGGATACCTATTTTTCCTGTTGGTGATTTTAGACAAAAAGAAATTGAAAAGAAGGAAAAATATCAATAGACAGAAAATTTGGTTGTGAATAAACCATAGTGAAAAGACCCTGAACCAACCGAGCCTAAGGGAAGAAAATAAAAAGGGTCACTGACCTTGATAAGCAAAAATTCTTACATACAATATGATAATCTATTGATATTGCGGGTATCCTTTCCTATATGGTGCAGATTCTATTTGATGATGAAGAACAGAAAACAGAGCAAGGGCAAGGTTTGCTTGACAAAGCGGCTGGCATCTTCTCTTCAATTAGCCGGATGATGAAGTCTATATGATGATTGATGATCACCTTTCCTACTTGTTCTCATCATTAGTTCATCCCACCCCCATTCATGTCAACTATATGTTGCTTCTTCAAAATTAATTTTCACTTTTATAGCTTTTATCATGTACTACAATGCACGTATTCATATTATTTGAATCGGTGCCAGACCACCACTTTTGTTAATCAAGTGTTTATCCCTACTATGTATAGAAGAAATGTTTGTTTTACCAAACTCAAACAATTTGCTAGAAGAATAAGGGATTTTCAATCATAGATGAAATTGAATCATTATCAAATTACAAGCCAAAAAATGGAGGCACAATATAACCTTCACTCTGTTCCCAAAAACCTTTGGTCTCAAAGATTAGTTTCATTGAGACAGGTTGCATTTTTTATTTGGGTGCTGTTGAAGTTTAGAAAAAGATACCTTTTTCTTAGTTGAAAAAAGGGAAGCAATGATCCCTATGCAAAACCTAGTGGGGAAATTGCCATAAAAGGAGAGCATAAACGAAGAAGCCCACATAAGTGAGACTTTTAACTTTTAAGAAAAGAAATTTATTTTAAAAGCAGCTACGAAACCATTAAAATTGTATTGAACATTGAAAATTGTCTTTCTTTCTGCAATTGTTTAAAAATCTCACTTTCCTTTGTTATTGCATAGATTGAAAAATGAAGCACCGGACAATTGGTCTTCTTATCTGTGACATACGGTGGGAAATATGAATTCTCGAATGGTTGTCTATGGATGCTAAATTTCGTAGGTTATAAGAAAACAACAAAATAAACTCTTGAAGCTCCCTGTTATGAATTTGAAGTACATAGAGTTGATCAGTTCACAAGGTTGCCTGTGACATCACAAAGAACTTCATGGATTGATTGTCCGTCGTAATTCCAGCCATGCAGAGTAACTTGGGGAGAGACACCAGGAGAGACCTCAAAAGATATTTTAATAGTCATGGTCTCTCCTGGCACAAGTGAAAAATAGTTATCTGAATAATGAACTGGGAGAATTCTTGTGTCTTCACACTCCTTGTGGTCTCTATTTGAAGCATGAACAGAAAAATGAAGAAAGAAAGCAACACCAATATCCTGTCCATTAATTTCATAAACCTTCAAACCATTACTTTTCCTAGCAAAGCATTTGTGTATCCTCTTAAACCAACCAACTTCATGTTCTTTTCCAGTCACACTATCAACAGTTTCCAGTGAGTCTGTAACAAAGCTGCTGTTGCTTTGTCTACCTGTTGAACCGTGCTCCAATGTCAAACTTTTAGAGTCTGGTTTTTTAGATGTGTTCTGCACATGCATTCGAAGTTTATAAGAGGATCCTTGAATGAAAACTTCAGATGTTATCTTGAGTGGTATTTTCTTCTTCCTATATGGTTCTAATAGCTTGTAATCTCCACCAGGAAGATGTAACCAATAAAAGTTTCTAGATAAAATTTTATTATCTGACATGTTGTAGAGTTTGAGAAGAAGAAAGTAGACTGGCTTAGGATTTTTTGACTTCGGATAGTTCATCTCAACAATAGGTGTTACTGTTTTTGGCAGTGCAGTGAGATTTTCATGAACTTTGTTGTGTGGACATGTGCCTTCGAGGTCCCACACTGAAACTTCCAAAGCTACATTAGACAACTCTACTGATGTAGTATTAACAACCTGTTTTAAGAATAAAAATAAAACCTTTAAGAAACTATTCATCACAAGACCATCAAATAATTTTCAGAGGAAATTATGATTATTCCAATTTTCACCAGTTCAGTACTTTTGGCTTCCTACTCAATTTTCAATTTATAGAGTCAGAAAAGTATTTCACGTTGTTAAATGTTATTTATAATTTCATTTCCAACTCATAAAAATAGAAATTTAATTTAGATGCTTACCTCTATAAAATATGAAGCTAGGTTAAGCTGTACATGAATTGGCTCTGCAGCGCATCGACAACCATAGAAACCTGCTGTTTGGTCAAGAAGATGATCATAAAATTGACCTCTCAGACCAGTCCAAGGATTTTGTGTCTTCCAAATCAATACTCCTGTAAATTTTTTCCACATGTGAGAAGTCCATCCCTCTAGAAGAGCTCTATATTGTATGTAGCTAACTAGTTGAGCCTGAGAAGATTATAGTACAAAAAGTATAAAAATCAAAAATAGAACAACAAAGATAGGAGGCTTAAAAGTGCATCATGAATGATTTCACCTAGATAAAATTTTCTTACCTTCAAACAAAAATCATCAAGATCTTCTACATCACCATAAAGCAGAATTTGATCTTGAACCTTATCTGGTTTTGAATATGGAATGTATTTATGGTATTTCCAAATGGGATTTGGAACTTCTTCTACATAACCATTGGAAAGTTTCCTAAATAGTGGTATTTGCCATCCTTCTGAAGGCATTGTTGCTCTTATGGTAGCAGCAACTGGCATTCCTACAGAACCAACCTCGGGGTTGAATCCATATTTATAAAAACTATCCTTGAAGAAATCTTCAGGATTTTGAATTTCATAAGGTCCATCAGTGAAGTTCCCCTTCCCATCTGCAAATCCATCCCATAATGATCCTTGTACGTAAATTCGTGTGCCATCAAGATACTGGCTAGGGTCCCCCAACCTCGGGGACACGTCACCTATAGGTTTTCCTTTTTCTTCTGCATGATCAAAATATGGATGAAGTTTCAGATCATTCTTTAGAGCAGCATTTATATCATCTGGTGGAGTTTGTTCATTTCCACCCACCCAGAGGGCAAGACTAGGATGGTTTCTAAGAAGCTTGACCGTGTCTCTTGCACAAAACAAGAAAAGGTCATGATCAAGTGGACCGTTTAGATTCGATATTGGGACACCGCGTCCATCAACATCCCCAGTAATCCAGAACTCTTGCCATACCTACAAGATTTACCAGCAATATGATCAATTATCAAAACTAAAATTGCCACTAATGTAACATAAGATGTATAGAACCTAACAGTGGGTGGAACCTATAGAACCTAACAGTGGGTGGAACCAACAGATCTGGTGAAGATGTATAAGTTCTAAACCAGTAAATTATATAGTGATCATTTAGTCCTGCTGCAGTAGCACTAAAAGAGTTATTTATTTATTTTTTAAATAAAGGGCATGAGAAGATTTGTAAACAAATTCTGTCTATCCCAATATTGTAAAAATCTGATCTCATAAATATAACCTGCTTTAGAGTTTGTCTGGATTTAATTTTAAAAGTGTTTTTGAAAGTTTCTCTATCGAAAAATACTATTTATTTTTAGTAGAGAAACTCTTAGAAGTATTTTTAATGTGTATTCAAACAAACTCTTAATAAAGATAATGGAGTTATTCACTGCAAAGCCGCATTAATGCAGTAAATGCATTAAAAAATATAATGAACGAAGAAAAAAATATTAAGCGACACATGTAAAAAATAATGAGGGTCTAAAACATCTTACCAGAATACCATAATAATCACAATAATGATAAAACTCTGGCCTTTCAGCGAGTCCACCACCCCAGCATCGAATCATGTTAAAATTCATATCTGCATGAAACTTGATATCTGTTTCGTATCGCTTCTTCGAAAGTCGCAGGAGCCCATCAGACAATATCCAGTTACCCCCTCGTATAAAAATTGGTTGTCCATTGACTTTGAACAATCTATGAATCCATACAGCAAAACATATGAAAAAGCAGTTTAAATCTTGAATTAGTCCTACTAAAGAAAAAGTAAAATATTATAACATTGGAGGAACATTAGAAACCGTACTACCTTCCACCAGTAGCATCATCGATATGGCTTTCAATTTTGCGCAATCCAAAGTAATGGCTCCATGAATCAGACTCACCATATCCTTTAACATCAATGTTAATAATAACATTGTACAAAGATTGCTTCCCCATTCCATTTGGCCACCATAAATTGGGCTTGTAGAAGAAGAGCTGCCAGTGCAGAACTGATGATCATTAGCACTTGAAAGAAGAGATAAAACTTAAACTCAAATTATGCAAATTAACGGGATCAATAGTAAAATGAGGCTACATAACATTATCAATCCAGGTCCACAAATTTTCTCAACTTAGAAAAAAAGAAATGTGACATAAGCCAGACAAACAACTTTGTCCAAAAGCAGCCCAAGATCCAATCCCAATACCAACACCAACGGATAATAAATATACAAATACAATAAGGTATGAAATAAGAAAAAATTACTCAAAAGTACAAAAATTTTCTAAAAAGATATTTTGAATTAATGATTAGTTCTTCACATAACATCTACAGACACATAAGGACAGTGGATAAACTTAGCATTATGACTGACCTCAGGAAATGTATATTGCACCCGTGATCTTGCAGGAATTGAAAGATTTTGAGTTTGAAGTTGCTCTACTAAGTGAATGCTCCCCTCAAGTTCTGTTGTGGCATGGATACTCAAAGAGCACTCAGCAGTCCAGGAGCTCCTGTTTTCCAACTCAGTTGTGGTATGTATATATACTCTCTTATAATTGTCAAAAAATGATGACACCAAGTGGGGATCAATTATTTTTACTGGCTGCACCAAACACATACTGGAATCATCCTACCAAAGAACTGCTGGAAGTACCATAAACTCTAAAAATTGTATAGAATGCATAAGAAGCAAAATTAACAAAGCTGTTCTGATGTTTAGCTCATGTCTCTGTATTATTCTAGTTTTGTTTCCCATACATATCAGTGATTCCCCAGTCCCCAGAAATAGAAATACCAGAGGCTGTAAAAGGATCTAAACCATTTAATTTAATACAACTCACCCCAGTAATAGAAATGGAAACCTCATCCCATATTCCAGTATTCCTATCTCTGCAATCAAATTTAATAACACTTGCATCAGTTGAAGTTTGCTTTACATTTCTTCTTCATAGTTCAGAAACTCTTCAAAACTCAGTCAACAAGGCCCAAAATACTCTATATTTTGTTTCATTTTCTTTTCCTATTTCTGTGCATACTAGGACATCATAAATTCATCAGGAAATTTAAACAACATATCCGAAGGAAAATTCAGTGTCATATGATACAATATAATGTATGCTTCTACTTTGATGCGTTATTTTTCCTTTTCAGTCTAAACATGATGTCCTCTTCTACACCAACTTTAATTGTGAATAGAATTTAATGACAAAGTAAAATTGTGTCCATGTTGAAAGGAATATTCTGATTGTTC